TCAAGGCCAGAATATTTGCCAAATGTCATCATAGCTGAAAAAAGACTAGCATGTGTCTTTACATTCTTCTTAAATGAATTACTCATTGCTTAAATTCCAGTTGTAAAGTGAGTTTCATCTGATTTTATTACATCTCTCATTTTTTGTACTATTTCATCAAACATTTGTAGACCATTACTAACAGTTTCACTTTCATTATTTTCCATGTTGTCATTTTCTTTAAGTTTAAATCTCATTGACTATTATATCTTGAACACAGTTTATGTTAATATTTTGTTTTATTTCGTTTTCAGTATTTACAAATATTTAAATGGATTGAGGTTGCTTTAGAATTGAACCATACCACCCATTTTCAATTTCTGAGCTTTCAGTGGCAATTATATGTAGTTTTTTTCTGGATTCTTCATTAGTTGGTAAACAATGCGTGAGATCAAAATTTAGGCTTGATGCAACAATTATCTGGTGTTTGCAAGGTTTAACAGTACAACCTTCTGGACAAGAACAAATCTCTAAATTCAGGTCTATATGGTAGAGTGTATTTTTATGGTTATTTTTACCTCATATATTGATTCTAAATCTTTAAATTCTAAATGTTCTTTTTAGGATTCAGTTAATATTAATTTTTTTTTTAAATATTGTGCAAATAGATTAGCTGCAACATCTAACAAATTCATTTCATAAAATGCATCAAGATCGTTAACAATAGAGAGGGCTGGTGAACTCAGTACCAACCAGTTTGGCTTCCGAAGAGGTTGCTCTACTGAGGACGCCATCAATAAGGTTCTTGACCTGGCTAGGTGGGCCAATCATGGACCCTCAACAAATCAGGAACTATGCGTCCTAGTGGCACTCGACGTGCAGAATGCCTTCAACTCTGCGCCATGGAAGCACGTGGATAAGCTCTTCGACGCAGAGGAGTCCCTCGATACCTCTTAAAAATTTTACGGTCATACATGGAAGATCATACAATTACCATTAGAACATCTGATGGGAACAGCACTGACAGACCGGTCACAGGGGGTGTCCCGCAAGGGTTGGTCCTCGGCCCCACATTGTGAAATGTATTCTACGATGACATTCTCAGGATGGACGTTCCGGAGGGTGTTCAGCTTGTCGGCTTCGCAGATGACCTAGCCCTACTCGCAGTCGGAGAGACTTCAGACACCCTGAAGGAGGTGGTCAACCCCACATTAGACGCTATTGATGGCTGGATGGGCGCTCATGGACTTCAACTAGCACGGCCCAAGACAGAGGCCATCATGCTGACTAAGAAGTAGGCGTATCGGGATCCGGTGTTCGTTGTAGGGGGTCACACAGTTCCTTTGCTAAGGAAGTTGCGATACCTGGGACTCCATCTGGACTCACACCTTACATTCAGTGGACACTTCACTACTATATAGGGGAAGGCGTCCCAGGCAGCGCTGGCTATAGGACGGCTCATGCCCAACCTTGGAGGATCCTCACAGTCTAAGAGAACGCTGCTAATGTCTGTGGTGAACACCAGGCTGCTGTACGCCTGTCCAACGTGGGCGGAAAGAGCATGCAAGTACACTATTTGTCGAAACCTTATGATTCGGGCACAGAGGATTGCGGCTCTCAGAGTCACGAGGGCGTACCACTCAGTCTCGGCTGAGGCAGCCTTATTCCTGGCGGGAACTCCTCCGGGCGATCTTCTTGCTTTGGAACGCAAAAGAATCCAAAGTAAACTTGACGACCCGGATAGAGCTGATTCAAAGGATGAGATCCGGAGAGCAGAGCGAGACATCCTGCTTGCTGCCTGGTCGAACAGATGGAGTCGGGGCGTTAGAGGAGCCTGGATGCGCACGATTCTTCCGGACCTGATAAGATGGACGAAAAGGTGTCCCAAAGACCTCACGTTTCATGTAACGCAGGCTCTTACTGGACACGGGTGTTTCAGGTACTACCTACACAGAATGAAGCGCGCCCCTGATGCGGCCTGCCTGTACTGCCAACACCCGGAGGACACTGCGGAACACACGATATTTGATTGTGCTTACTGGGATCCGCTTCGGCTGCCAGTGAAGATGTTTGTTGGTAACCGAAATATAACCCCGGGAGACGTTCAGGATTTGTTGTGCGGCCCCTCTAATGTCCCGTCCAGCGAGAACGACCGGCTGCAGGCTGCCTCCCAACGCGCCACTCAGTCCTTTTATGACATGGTTGACAATATTTTAAGCTGCAAAGAGCATGATGAAAGGATAGCTGAGGCCGAACGAAGAGCGAATGCAGTGGCAGCCGCTCCAACTGACTGAGCACACGAAGATGCACTTAACAGCGGGCCGTGATTACTGACGGACTTTATTATTTATTGTATCGCATTGTATTGCTTTGTATTGTATCTATTGTATTAATGTTTATTTTTAAAGTGAAGATGTGCATGTATTAACGTTTTTTATTATTAAACATTAATAAACAATGGCAGCAGAAGAGTAATAGTGTTCACACAGATCCTCCTCTGCTGACGGTTCAAACGGGGGGGGGGGGGGGAAGAAAAAAGATCGTTAACAATAAAAAACAATAATTGTACAGGAAAATATGCCTTTGTTCTGTCAAGTATTGAATCTTTTACAACCTTAACTCCAGCTTCACAGACGATATTTGTGTTTTGTCCACGTGTAATCAATGACTCTTAAGCAAAGCGACCATTCATCACGTCGCTGAAATAAACCTACTATATAAGTCTCAAACCTAGAATATTGTGATGTCAAGTCATCGTTTGTAACTTCATGGTAAAACATTTCTGATTCTTCAAAAGTTTTTGAATACATTTTTTTAATTTTGTGAGTATCAAAATTGAAGGGTCCGGTGCAATAACAAGGTATCTCCACTTTTTTTCGAAATGCATGTTTTAACATATTCTAATAGTGGAAAAATTTGTCTACATTTCGGTGCAATAACGATATATCTCCGACTATTAAATACGCTAATATCATACAAAAGGAGATATCTGGTTTTAAATGTTCTGGGCAAGAACCAGGTATCTCCGGAGATACCTTGTTTATGCTCAGAAAGATGGCAACACTTTTATTACTTTTAATTTATTAATTAAGTATTAATTTTTATGTTTTTATGTACGCAAATATTTGGTGTCAACTAATACCACATTATAAGATTTTAATATTATGTTTCAACTGTTAAAAGGATTATTATTATGTTTATGTTTTATTTGTTTTTATACATGCTCAAGGTGTTATGTTATTTTCAATTTGTTTCTTTTTGATTTATTATATTATGTTGTGAGTAACAACAAACACATTTTTATCATTTTAAGATATATTTTCTATTTATTTATTATGTGCTCATTAATAGGTACTAATATGCTCATGATTATATTCTAAAATGAAATATCCTACCAAAGTAGTTTTTTTAAGTATTTTTTTAGTCGTAAAGGATATCAAAGCTACATTAATGAATGCATAGACCAAAGTTTTACTTATATTTTGGGTCAAAAAACCTGGTATCTCCTTAAAACACATAGTTACTCAATTTAATCATTATAAAAGGTTGTGATAGGTTGGATGATTTTGATTATAGGTATAAATTACACATTATAAATGTTTTTTGAGATTATTCAATACATATGATGAAAGAATTTCTGAGATAAAAAAAAAACAAAAAACATGGATTTTAATTTTGGGGTAAGAACCCATATATCTCCACTAAATTAAACTTGAATTAATTAATTAAAATTATTCAAATTTATTTAAAAGTAATAAGGCTTTATGGAATGTTATATATACATCCAAAGCATAAAAAATCAGTTTTGGAAACAGTAACATGATGAAAGGTGGGTCAGTAAAAACATTTTTTATGTCTCCTGAACAATTTCAAAAAGTGGAGATACCTTGTTATTGCACCGGACCCTTCAATTACAAAATGTCTTTCTTATTTTCATATTGTTTAACCTTTATACAAATATTTCAAAAAAATGTTATTGATTGATTATTGCCCATATTGTATTAAGAATATTTAAAAATATTTTTTTTTAAATATAATTTTTTACAGATGAATTTGTCTAAACCAAGGCTTAAACCTAATTATATTCTGTTTAAGCTCGTGGATAGTAAATCGATGAATACAAATCATGACAAAGAATTGCAAAGTTACATTCTACATAGGTAGTACCATTGATTATAGAATAGACTATTCTATAATAAATGGTAGTACATAACTTAGTATATGATTTGAAACTTATTCTGTAAGTTTGTAAAATTTAAATACTAAAATTATAAAATATATAATATGGTTAATTATTAAAGTAAATCATTATCATCAATTTATTTATTTATTTATGAACTTATAAGTTATAATTAATTATTAATTAGTGTTTTGGTAATTAATCAGGCAATTTTTCAAAATGTATCATATTTTTACCACTCTGACTCTGCATTCATGCCGCTACACAAGCGATGGTAAGTAAGTTGGTAAACAGTAAAATTTAGAAAGTTGGAGCAGAGGCGCTATGAAAATAGCGGATTAAATAAGTACTAAAATGTTCTCTCTAAGCGACAATGATAAGCAAAGAGTCCCGACCTTATCTTCTAAGACCGTGGTCATAGCCATAGATCATAGACTTTAATTATAAGAATTCTTATATTATTTATTGGCTAGGTGATAGTGGTAGTTCTATTTTTCTCCCAGTTTCTCCTAAACCTTAACAAGCCCGGCTCCCCGTAACTCGCCCGCATATTCATTACCAGTCTGTATTAACTTATATAGTCTGTGCTATATGGTAATTAATTTTCATGTTTAATGATTGTGAACAATTTTTACTGAACATTGCGTAATTTCGTATTAACCATTTTATGATCTCGAGAACATTCAACAGGTTATAAGCAGTTATTAATTGTTTTACTTATAAACGTAACTTAATTTTGGTTTTACTAAATATTTGATAAAAACTGTAATAAAATGATAAGCAACCTTTGATAATAAAAGAAGTACAACTATAACAAAAAAACACAAAACACTTGAAGAATGTATTAATAATGTTATAATTTGTGTTCTCTCCTTCTGTTTAGTGCTAGTTCGTTGTATAAATTAAATATTTATATACTGATATATAGAGTGGCAACATTATCAGTTTTATGATAATCAATTTCGTATGATTTTATAGTACATTTATTTTATGTCAACTGATATTTGGTTATTAAGAATAATTTATTCGCTTTTTCTTCCAAACTTCTTGTTTATGATCTGTAAGTTAAATAAATATAGAAAAAATGTATTATTAAATTATTGTAAATAATTCAACAAGCATTAATTGTTTACCTAGGTTGTTAATTATGATTTCTGATTCAGTTCAAGGAGCTGTTAAATGGATTACTTATACAAATCCAGTCGTTACTAACTCGGTACAAGGGTTTAATTCATTGGCAAGTAAACATTGATGAAATTATTGCATAAAAGATCTATTCCGTCTGTTTACTCTAAGTTTAGCCCTAATTTTAAAATATGTCTATTGATAATATTTTATTTTGTTTTTACATAGGTACTTGGATAGTGTAAAATTTTTCCAACTTGTAAATTAATTTATTTTTTATTACATAAACTGCATGCATTTTTTTTCTTAATTGAAAAAAGCATGTATTCAAAAATAATTTAGTAATTGTTGTAATTAATTAACTACACTTTTTTAATTTGATTTGTGTTTATCATAATACTGATATTCTACCTTGGAATTTATCATTAAAAATGTATGTGATCATTTAAAATAATTAAATACTTAATAAATGATGATAATCGTGTAAATAATAAAGATATTACACTCGAATTTGTTTATAATTATGCCGTTTACAACTATTTCTGGGTAAAAAAATTTCAAGCAATGTATTTGGTTGGTTTTATATCTTATGTGTTACATTTTATAATCCAGATATAACAAAGTTCGGTTATAACAATCAGATTCTCTTGGTCCTTTGAAGATCGTAATAAGCGAATTTGACTGTATTTATTTCAGTAATGTTTTTATTGAAAAAACCATGTTGATAGTTTTATAAATCCATGCATTAAAAGACTCATATAAATTATTTATATAGGAACCATTAATTAAACATTAGTTGCTCATTTTTTTCTATTGAATAAAATCAGTATAATTAATTTTGTATTGAAATTAAATGATACATTTACTTTTTTCAATTAACAAAATTCTTAATTTTTCTTATCTAAAAATGTTTGTTGAGTATTTTTCATTTAAATTAATAACTTTTTATCTAACATTTATGTTACAAGATAAATTAACTAAATTTTTGTTAAGAATTGAATAATTGAATAATTTGTTTTATATATAATTTTTTAATTGGTTTAATTTTGTAGCTAAATTGGATGGGAGTTGCAAGTTCCAGTGAAAAACAAAACATTATAAAAATGGAGAGTCGCAATATAATGCAATTGCTTGGTAAAAATATTTATTTCTATAAAATGGCTGGTCTTTTAGGAGCTTCTGCTGTTATATTAGGAGCTTATGGTGCCCATGGTAAGTAAAAATATAAATTCACAAAGTATTTTAAACATTTTAATGAATTATATCACTACAACAATAAATTGTTAATATTTTGATATGGTGAAAACAATTTTAATTACACGTTTAAACTTTAAATAATAATATTCATTATTTTGTTTTAATTTAAAAATCTATTTTTCAGAAGGACTTAAGACTATTATTTAAATTATTATACTTTTACATATAATGTCATTATCGATTGTAATTTTTTAGGCAAAAATGAATTTAACTAGCATATTACTAATAGTAAAATAAATTACTACCTAATACCCATTTGTTTTTTCCAACAAGTAAATCATGTATACACTTGCCATGTATTTTAGTCATAGTCTTAGTTATTAGTCGGGTGTCGACTGTATTTCTTAACTTAAGTAGAATTTTGGTAACTACTACATTTAATGTATATTTTAAATTATATATATTTTTAGTTGTGGTTCATAAAGTTAACCCAGAAGAAGCTAGAAATTTTGAAACAGCAAATCGGTATCATTTTTACCATACTTTTGCATTATTTGGTGTACCATTTTGTCGTTTTCCTAGAATTGTAAGTATAATTTGTATGTTTTTAATTTTTTAATTTATTATTAAAATTTAATTTGTTTTAGACTGGAGCACTTTTTATAACTGGAACTTTAATATTTAGTGGTACATGCTACTACAACGGTTTGACTGGAAATAAAACATTCAACAAATATACACCCACTGGGGGTATGTTATTAATTGCTGCTTGGATGTCAATGATACTTTAAAAATAAATTTATTATACTTGTTTTTTTTTTCACTTGGATGTATAGCTAATAAAGATTATACATTTTATAAAAATATTGTGTAATATAGTTAATAATGATTGATCTATGGGTATGTTAATTATTATTTGTATTTAAATTTAAAATAATGTATTCATATATAAACATTTGACTTAAATATTCTATGAATAACTTGATTACAGCGAGTTCAGTGTATTAATTAAGATTAGTAATATAATGAATATAATATAGTATATTTTCATTTTTTAACATACTTATATAACTATATAAATCAGATAAATTACTTGAAAAAGACTGATCAGTGTTATGGGGGTGGATAGCCCCTATCCACTCCCATACTCTCCACTATTTGCCTTGATTTTTCTCCTATAAAAAATTTTAGCTCTCTGTATTGCTTTACTTTTTTCCTTTTACTGTTGAAGATCAGACATCTCACATGAAAATAATAAAATAAAATTTTTATGGGTTCAATGTATCATTATTATGTATAGTTTATATTTATAATTTGGATGTACAATCTATGACTAAGGATTGAGAAGAATCAAAACTTGCATCAAGTCAACTGTGACCCAAACATATTCAGTGATCGGGTTACAAAATATTGAAAGAGAATTATCTAATGAGATATAATAACATATACATTTAAGTACTTATTTAATTATTTACATTTTATTCCAGAGTGACAAGGGTGGGTGTTTCTACTCTAACATTTTCAACTTAGGCTTTCTATGACTGTTCACTTTTTAACTATTGAACTATTTAGATTCTAAGGTTACACTTTTGAATGCAATACAAATGCTGTTAATATTTAGTTAACCTTTTTTACCTAACCTATTGGCTGTACAGGATTAATTACATAGCGAAATGAATTCTATAAATTTTTCATATTTTTTCATTTTTGCGTGGACGCAATTTGCCGTGCTTGTGTATTATAAGCATTGACCATTGTAGTGTGTATACTGTCAAACACGTAAGTAATAGGTATTACAGATTAAAATAATGAAACATTTAATCTGTATTCATACTACTGTAATATTGTATTGTTAAAAATTATAGAATATTACGTCTGCTATGATGTCATCAGTCGTAATATTAGTTGACAAAGTAGGTACGGCTTCTATTTGGAAACATTTTTTATTAACATTATATAGTCAATACACGTATTATTTTCTGGTATAAATTGTCAATAATTTTGAATTTTTTTTTTTTTTTTTTTGAAGAACATTAAATAATTAATAACAAACTCGATTTTCGTTTTAAACAATTTAATTATTGTAAAAAAATTGTGGTTTTTGAATCTCGAAACAATATTTTTAAATAGGAGCCCCGGTCGGTAAATATCAACCCCCTCGGCCACTCCGATCAGTTAAAAATCATCTATTGAAATTTATGGAACATGTAAAATTTTAAATTATCTATTTATTGTATTAGTTCCAAATATCTTATACCTATCAACAAATTAATAATTAATTATAATTACACCATGTGTTTATTTAATTTATCATTCAATATTTCTATTGACTACACAAAAGTATAAAATAATACTTAAAACAAATAAACAAAACACTCTTAACAATAAATTTACAGGAAACATTTATCAAAATTGTTAAACACAAAGATGACATATGATGTATGTCAATACAACACAGAAAATGCAGAAAATTTCAAATTTATAAATAAAAATGGCATACACTTCATATGGTACCCTGCTACATTTTCACAATCAAGACTAGGAAATAAAAATTCAAGTACAGTATTATGTAATATATTAAACTTAAGTTATTAAAAAAATTTTAATTTATAACATGTAGGTCAAAATTCACAGATTTACTTTTAACCCTCTTCATCTTAACAATTTTCATCTATTAAAAATTTTGAAATTACTGAATAGTTTTTATTATATTAACTATTAGCCTACATATTATTTAAATACTAAATAGATATGTATTAATTTAGGTAATATTTTTATGATTATTATTTTATTTATAAATAATATTATAATTTATCTATCTATAGGAGGGAGTAATGCATGTACTATTATAACACTACTCATGGCTACAAACATAAACACATCAAACATTCGCGTCAATTGTTTATTCACCTCACAGGTCAAAGACAATCTCACTGAATTGTTTTCAGATGCAATATTAAATGGTAATGCAATCCACCAAAATTTGTTCAAAAACAGCAGCTCATCGCAAAATACAAACCTAACTGTGCCAGAAGCTATGAAAGCAGGAGAATCATCGCTGGGCACCATGACTGAATGGGTTAAAATTAAAACATTTATGCCAGGTTGCATAAAAAATTGATTCTTATGATTCACTAAAATTTAATACACCAATTATAAATCATTTTAATTAATTTCTAGCTTGTTATTGATTTATCATTAAGTGGTTAATTATTTATGCAACTTGGAATTATGCATTTTTTTAAACTATTATTTAAGAATATTACTGTTTCTTTAATTAAAAATTTATATTGTTCATTTCAGAAAAGTTCAGTTTATTTTAACGATATGAAAATCAACTTGTATGCAGAGATGAACCAGTATATAATTGAATGGTATACAAACCCTCCATGTTGTCAACCAAACAATCTTTACATAATACTTATTGCTCACAACAAAGCAATTTTAATAGTAATACAATTAGATACAAACTCAGTATGTATTCCATTATACTTTGTTTTAAATTTTATTTAATAATGAACTTTAAGATTTAAAAATAATTGTAAAAATGTTTAAATTCAATCTATATCATTGTTATTCATCATTAAAAAATATAATAGATTTTTAAAATGACTTAATCAAATTAATTTAAACCTAAAAGCTGTTGTTGGTAACTTTGTTTTAAATGCATTTAGATTAATAAGCAGACTATATTAAATTCTTAATTATTTAAATTCCAATAATTTGACATTTTTTGATAGAATGATAATATAAATATAATATTCTGATTATAACAATTTTTATTTGTGTAGATATTACTTATTGATTCTCATCAACATTCACCACATGGAGCTTTAATATGTCAATCTCGAATATCAAAATTGGAAAGTCTTTGTTTATGGTATTCAAAAATGTTGTGCAATTCAGCCGGATCAAATCCAAATGCATACGAACTAAGTTTTTTATATTTTAAATGTGAAAAACGTAACAATAAAAACAATGTATGATTTTAAATATACCAATTTAATTAAGATACAAACAAGAAAACATACAAATACAGAACTATTTATACTAGGGCTCACTTAACAAATTTTTAAGACTTTCTTTTAGGTATTGAACATTGTTGACTAATGAGTCTCGAGTGCTTAATTCTGTATAAGGAACAGCTAATACCTTATAACCAAGAGAGTGAACTAGTCGTGTATTAAGGGCTGAAATTCCATTAGGTTCATTATGACAGCCACGGCACATGTCATGAAATCCAGATAGCATAAAAGCTATTTGATGTGTTTCTGAACTCTTCAATTTGGGACTATCAAGTGGTATAGGGTTTAATTTTGAATCAAGAGCACATTCCGCATCTAAAAGAAAATATAATACTTTGATTACCATATATTATTGAGATCTTGTCAATCATAAACAAACCTATTACAGTATTTACCATAAAAATCATGCTTAATATATTTTTAAACACGCATTACACATATAATGCAAAAATAATAAAATAAATTGAGTTAAATTAAGAAATCTTGAAAGGTATCTCTCCGCATTTGTATTACTTCTTACTTTTTAATAAAAAATTTAAATGCTTTACTTTATTTTTATTATTTTTAATATAGATTAATATCACAATAATTTTAAGTAGAATTAGTTAACACTATAAATATTATTAAACATAAGAAATAATTATTTATAAAACAGTTAGTTCCAAAATAGATATTCCACAAAAAGAAAATATAGATTGAGAGTTAAAAGTTTAAAAACTTACCAATTATAAACCCCAAGTCAGTTTTAAAATTAGTTTTAACAAAATTTTCTGATGGAAACATAATTGATAAAGAGTCAATCAATGTTTTCATTAAAACTTGTTTGTCTTTTGATCTCACTAATTCAAGTTTGAAAATCTCAGAGTCTGGATCTAGTAATGGTCCTATATTTTAAAGAAAACAAATTATAATTAGTTTATATATATTGTATTGTCAGTTTAAAACCACAAAATTATAATTTTTGTTTTTAATTACTTTTAATGTAATTATAACCTATAAAATAAATAAATATGAATTAAAAATTTAATATTCGTTAGTTTCAGTTCAAACTAAAGAGTATTGCATTTAAAAATGTTGCATTTTATTAGAAAGCAATTATTTAATCTTATATTATTTTTTAAAAGAACTAATACAATTAAAATAATAATAATGAATTCATAATACCTTTATAATCTAATTTGGTCTTAGCATATCCATTTATATTCAGTAATTTTATTGATACAACTTTGTTACCTAACAAACAGAATACATTTTTATTAAATAATATCTATGTTAGTTTTATTATTCTTAACCATTATATAAATACTTAAAACACTGTTTATTTTAAATTAGAAATTTCTGAATTTTGTTTAATTGCATAAAATGTAATTATTAATATTTAAGTTTTAAACATATCTGGACATAGGGAAATAATAATTCACTGTTAAACAATTTAAAAATAATAATTATTATTTTTATAAATGAATAATAGATTATTATCCATCTAGATACATAAAAAATTATTATATTATACTTATTTATCATTTTGATTAAATTTATAAATTATATTTTATAATCAATGGTCATAAGTAATGGACAATTTTTTTGTTAAGTTCCAACATAAATAGATAGATTATGGTACATATATTTAAGTAAGCATTGATTAAGTATAATTAATTAATAAAATTATTAACAGTGAATCCTACTTATTTCATTTACCTTTTAATTTCATAAGATTAGAAATAAAGTCAGGTGATAAAACTGATGCTAAAAGTTCATTGTCTGCTTTTTCTAATACTACTAAACTCCAAATAATATCCAGCCATGTGTTTAAATTACCAACATCATTAAATTGCTTTGTACTTTTGAACGTCTAGAAATAATATTAATTAATTAGTTTAAAAAATATATCAGCATGACTATACTATTAATAAACAATAAAATCAAAAAATTACTTGAATAATGTTGTCCATATTATTAGGTTTGTAATTAACATATGCTAATGTTAATAAATATGAAATTAGTATATGCTGTTTGCATTCTTTAATGTGTTTTTCTAACCATGTTGATAAGGAATCCAGTAAATCTAAAATATAAATTAAATTTAGTTCACATTTTCTTTTATTTAATTATATAAATTAGAAGCATAAAAAAAAAAGACACAAAAGTATGAAAAAAAAATTAATCGAATAAATATATTTTAATATTTAAAACTTAAAAATGCTGTTGATAAAAATAAATAACATATTTATGACAAAATAAAAAATGTATTTTAATCAATATAGTTTTAAAGTATACAAAACTACTAATTCAAAAAATATTATTTTATAAGCCAAATATAAATATATATATTTGTGTTATCAAAATTACCTGGATCTCGGTATCGTAAAATTCCAATACTTGTAACAATAGATCCAATAACTGATGGCCGATCAGTTGTAGACATATTGCTTCGTACATCTGCACTAACTTTTTCTAAAAGTACTTCATCAGGAAAATTAAGTATAGCTAAAGCATAAAGCACATCGGCACATTGTTTAATATCCATTTTTTCAGAACATCTTCCAATATTAAATGCTAGTGACCGCAGTAAAGTTGTTGAACGTTTTTTCTTTGCGCCAATAGTAGATAATACCTTTAAATTTATTAGTTATGTACGATTATTTTTTCATTTAAAATATTCTATAAATATTTACTTTAACCATCTGTGGTAAACTAATTGAAGAGATTAATTTTGCAGCTTCATCATCTCCTGTAATGCCAAGAACTGTAGACAGGTCACTAAACAAATTTTCTTTTTCTTTTGAGTTTTCTTTCCCCAACATTCTACATAACTTTAGAAACCTTATATCAGTTTCGAATTCTGCTAATTTTACTCGACCAGAACTAGCCCATTCAGCTAAAGTAGATACAGCCTATAAATAAAATAAAATAATATATTAGGTAGTCATAATAAAGAGAATATTATAAGCATATTAGAAATAAAAAACTAAATTTTAGTTAAAATTTAAAAATCTGTTAAATTAAGTATAAATCATAAACGTATACATAATAAAATCATTTATATTATTATAAACACTTAACAATAAAAAAAAAAAAAAAATCATGTATATAATATTTACTTTTAGTGCATGTTGTTTAGAAACTAATCCTATTTCAGATATTGCCAATATTTCTTCAACTGTAGTGGCATTATCAATTGTATTATTAATAATATAGAAAGATGATTTTCTTGATTTATCATTATCGATTTCTTTTAATGATTCAAAAGCTGCTGCTACAATATTATTATTAACTTTTGATTCATCAAGCCGAACTAGTTTGGTAGTAGTTATGTTGGAAGATTGCATTCGTACAACAGACATTAAGTGTCTTGGCATTCTTGACCACCTCATCATAATGTAAACTAATTTAAAGTGACCACCTGAAAAGTAAATATGGTTTTACTCTAGGCATTTACTATAATTTATTAAAGAAAGCACTAAAATCATTTTAGCTATAACAAAAAATAATATTTTTAAAGATTTTTTAAACTCCATAACTGCAAAATAAAAAGTAAAAAGTATTTTATTTTCAAGATTTACAATACTAGGTAATTATTTTTTAGATATACTGATAAAAACTAGTACAAAGCAATTTAATTAATTGATACATAACATTTTAATGCTTCATTAAGTGAAATTTAACGACGAGCATTTCAAGATCTTATCACAAAAATCTAAAAACCAATATTACCAAATAGATATATTAATCTTTTATACTTATGAAACTCACAGTTTTTTTTTCACAAAAAATGAGTTTGCATGTGTGTTTTTAGTTTATAAAATTATACACAATATATACAAGTAATTTGGTACTTTATACAAATTATAATAACATGTACTTATATTACAATTATTGTGAAATAAGAAATAAACTCACGCTAATAGTTAAACTAGGATATTAGTTATTAAATATTAACATTAAGATTCAACTTCACATTTTCACAAGGGTTAGTTAATAGTTTATATTTTCATAGGTTCATGTGATTATAATATTATAGTTGTATTGATATGTGATAAGATGATAACACCATCGGCTTCGGCAGTAGGAGGCATGTTTTCGTGGTTTAAGGTTTTCAAAAACGACAAAAACATTAAAACAGCTGGCAAATATTTTATTTCTGTAAGCTGTAGAATTTTTTTTGGTAAAAAGTAAAAAGTATAATAATAATAATAAAAATATAGATTGTAAATATTTTACAATAAATAAGTCTTATACACTTTATAGACGTAAAGTTGACAAGTAATAAGCTAAATATTACAATAATACTGCAATAAATAGTCAAAAATCATTTAATTTTTATTACCTTAGTGTTAATGTTGTTTTTAGTATTATCATATAGTAGGGCTTTAATTTTTTTTAAATTTTAAATAAATATAAAATTTGAAGACTCATTCGTAATTACTATATAAGTTTCATAATTCTCGCCCAGTCTTAAAAACGATTACTTATAATTATATTATTTATATTAACATTTTGTTGTATGTTCTATATAGACTATTATTGAACATAGTTCATTAATATAGTAAAAATACTGAAAATGTGAATTAATTGAAATGCAAAAATTGTATTGGATATATTATTTAAATAATAAATACCTAGGTAACAAATTAACGTGTCGCATATGTGGTATGCTACGTTTTAAGTGTTATCTACGAATAAAGTTGTAAAAATATACTTCTTGTAACTTTGTAAAAAAGTGAAAGATGTAAAGGTCATTAAAATTTAAAAAATACACAGATCGATATCAATTTAAAAATTAAATTACGGTGAAATATAAATATTACATTTGTATTTATAACATAAAATGTAGGTAGTTAAGTAAAATGTTCAAAAATTTAAAAGTATATAGGTACTGCGAATTATAAGAGAAAGATCATTTCGGCATTCATAATAAAACCAAATTGAATTTAAAATTATTTTGATTAGAAACTAAATTATTAAGTTGTTTCACGGTTTTCTTATAGTAGGTATAAAAAATTTTATATTGCTTACAAGGCTACAAATAACTATAATAATGTTGAGTTCGATATTGTTATGGATAATATCAATTATCAGGTATGTAAAACGTGACAGTATTATAATATTTATATTTTTGTTGTTAATTTAATAATTATATTTATTTCTGTGAAGTACGAATATAAAATACTCACAGCATCTATTTGTTTTGTTTTTCAGTTACAAATTAACCCGTTATCATAGTTTCAACTATATTCATTATTCAATAATTACGAATTTTACACTTTGACATATTAAATTATTAATTAAAATAGTTCTAATTTCTAGATACAAAATACAAATTGTGAATTTGTGATAAATGATAATAAATTTGATCTTAAATCTTAATTTTAGAAAACTATAAAATAATACCTACATAAATATATTATGATTGATAGTTTTAAGATTTATCAACAACTGTACTTATTTTATTCTTATCAAAAGTCACTTAAAAAAAAAAATATTATCAATTATTATTTTTCTGCACCTACTTGTTCAATGTTGTTCGCGCTCGTCATTTAGTTGTATAATTTTTCTACTTATTTTCTTTTAGCGATCTATATTAAATAATGAAGTTCAAAAGTATTATTACAAATAAAGTAAGTGTATTTATCTTATAAATGAAATTGATATGGTTTCATAGTAATTGTATTAAACATTTCTATTTTATATTAGATTGCAAACAATGGATTTTTATTAACGGCCTATGCTTATACAGTAATGCCAGTGGTATTAGCCAAAGATGAACAAGAACCCAAACTTGTCAGACCTAAAGATTTATCAATATATCCTGACGAATCCAAAGAAAAGAAAACGTGTGTATATAATTGTGTGATAATACTATGAATAAATATTAAGTATGTCAATAATTTAAATTCATACATTAAAGATAATAATTTAAATTATAGTGAAAAAGAAATTGACTGGCAACCAACAATAGCATTAGGTTCAATTCAAAAAGTAAGAGAAGAAATTGTCAACCTAAATCAACAATGGTCCAAAGTCAAAGATAGAGTATACATTTTCATTCAGACTGGGGTCAGCCATACAGAATGTAAATATTTAAATTAATTTGTTTAATATTAAAATAAAAATTTTCAAATAGAATTATGTATTCTAGTTTGTGTCTATCTGAATTTTATACAAGATTATTGCTAATAAAAATGTATTAATGTCGTCAATAATCTTTGTTTTTGCCAGTATCAAATTTCATATATTTTTGGCATCAAAAACAATAAGTTTAGAACTAAGGTCAAGTAATCATGTATGTAATATATTGGTGTGTGTGAAGATACTATTAACTGTATCGAATAGCTTTCTTGAACATTTTAACATGCCATATTGTCTGTTTATGGATTACCTAACTGCTGCGACTCCCTCTACTATTTTAAAAGTATTTTTATGATGTATGGGCAGTATATATCTAGTTGTTACAGGTGTCACTATATATTCAATATTTTTACTAATATGCTTGTTATAGAAAAACACATTGGGATTAAAATGTATTTATTATTTTCTCAAATAATATATAGGATTAGAAAAATCTCTTATTTTTATGTTTTAATAATCGATTATAAATATTGAAATATTGTAAACTTATAGGTCTTCAAAAAAAAAAAAAAAAACACAAATTTTTAATAATAAATATTTATAATTTATTACTACTTTAAAATATTATAAGAATAAGTACAATAAAAAAGTAGATTAGATTAATTTTAACTCAAAAGTTATTATTTATAAACACTTTTATTGTATATAATATTAAAAGTAATAATATTTTATTTATTATATCAAATTTAAATTTGTTAGGTCATTCTTATATAAGATATTTACTATCACATCATATCAGAATTGAAGTTCTTATTATGTATATTTTTTTGTAATTAAGTATGTTTGTTGAATTTTAAGCTTTTGTGGATGATATGAGGCAAGAAAGTAATTCTACTCTCCGAGTCGGATTTGTGGCTGGAAGTGGTTTAGCTGGTTTATTATTAGCAGCTAGAAAAGGAACATTTAAAAAACTTGTTTATGCCACAACTGGAGCATCAACTGCATTTTATGTTGGTTATCCAAAAGAATCTGAAGAAGCTACTAAAATCATCAAACATTATTCCATTGTTTCTTATCATTTGATAAATAATGGTTGGTTATAATCATAAAAAATATATATTCATATATATTATATTCACCTAGCATGCCTTCCCTCATTTTATCCTTTAAGACCATATTTTCATATTAGATTTTTTTACTGGGTAAGAAATGTTTTATGGTTAACTTTTTCAAATTTTGTTCACACTTCTCTATTGTAAAATATTAATTTAAATCATTTTTAAATGGCTATGCATTTAAATTGAACTAGTAATTTTTTAATTATTTATATTTTTGTATTATAATAATTTGAGATTTAATAGTTTATTAAAATATTATAATTAGTAAAAATACTTATTACATAAATGTTAATGATTTATACTGCTTTGTATGAACCTTAAATTAAAAGCGTCAAAATTTAAAAAAAATAAATAATTTTTAAAACTTAAGTTAAATAACATTGTAGTATTTTAAAATACATACAGTCTTTTAGTATTTTTGAAAATCCAAAATTGTATATAATTTGTTATTAAATGATAAAAGAAGGATGAGCACGTTTGGTGAATCTTCCTGTATATTTTAATTATCTGTTGAATGTTATACATTTTATTTTAGTAACCAAGGATTTAACTGGTTTTGAGTTACCATCATTACCATTACCAAAAGCTGAATCCCAATTTGATAACCCTGAAGAAACCAGCAAACCCGATTGGATAGAACTATTTATTTCATTGTTTGACTATGTGAAAGAACCACTAGAATCTTTAAAACAAATGGTTTTTAATGGAAAAAAATGTAAATTTAAAAGAAAACTAATTATTAAATGTATTACAAAATTTTATTTTTATTTATATGGACCAGCTGACAAGGGTAAATAACTTCTCAAAAATGTTTACACATTATATATTTGCTAGTGCATAGTTGTTACAATAAACATATTTAGCAGTGAAATTAGATATTGTTCAGCCCTTAAAACAGGCTTTATTTAATCTTGCAATCACTTCTTCTTTGCCAAGTATTACCATTATTTCACTAACACCTGGACCTTGCTGAAAATAAGAATGTATAAATAATGAAAATAATTAAAAATAAATAATCCAATTATAAATTTACTAGCCTTCAATCCACTGATGATGTTGCGTAGCATTTTCATTAAATTACTATATACAATATTGTTTGATTTTGAAAATTCTTTTAATACTGTTCCTAAATTATCAATAGTGAAATCATCTATGTCTATTAAATGATTTTTTAATTTGATTACTATGTCTATAATAACAAAATCATAGTTAAATGTGTGTTATTTCTTAAATAAATAATTGTTAATGTTAAATTGTAAAATTATTTTGTTACCTATATCATAATCCATAGATTTTATAGCCGTTTCTGATGGTTTTAACCAAATAAACTTGTAATTTTCATGAATTAGTTCATTAATATTTGTTATTCTATTAATACTCCACTTTAGTATTTTATTTAAATGTTTCTCTGATAAATCTAATTCCACTGATTTGCTAAAAATAAGCATATGTATACATTATTTACCTTTTAACAATTTAAATTATATTGATGAAAATTTTTTTTTTAAGTTTACATAAATCTGTTAGTAACTGACAACACCAGCAGTAACTTTTAATTTAGTTAAACAATTAAAATTTATTTGTAACAAAGCAATGAAATGAAATCTTACTCTTTAGCTAATGTATTTTGAACAATATTTTTTAATTCTTCAATTGTTCGTTTTCTTCCTAAATCTGTATTTAATTCAATTTTTAATTGAGCTTGATTGAAATCTCCAAGTCTATCCAGAGGGACTTGACATGAATTTGAGTTTATTAATTTTATGTCAAACTATTAAAAGTGTACAAAAATTAAAATATATTTAACTTTGTTTCTATATTCTATACCCACTTTAGAAATAAGTTCTGATAGAGGTTTTATGGAAACATTATTGTTTTCATTATCATAAACAAATCCTCCCCCACAACTAATAACAAAATTTAAAAGTGCTTCAGGATAAATTCCTTTAAGACGATATGCATTGATGGTTATGTCATTTTGACGCTTGGAAAGCTTTGTACCATCTTTATTGATCAACAAAGGTAAATGTCCGAAGTTTGGTGGATTCCAACCAAAAGCTCTACAATATATAAATAATTTTAGTATGATCAAATTGTTAAAAACTTATAAATAATAATTTTTTATTTTTAATTGCTAAATTACTAACTTGTAAAGTAAAATATGTTTAGAAGTTGATGGTTGCCATTCGACACCTCTAAGGACATGTGTAATTTTCATATCATGATCATCAATGACATTAGCTAAATGGTAAGTAGGAAACCCATCAGATTTTAGTATTATTGGGTCTCCTTCAACAGCTGCTACATTTCTTGCAATATGACCATATACTAGATCATTGAAAAAACCATCACTTTGACTCAACTAAATATTAATTTTTTATGTGTTAGGTATAATTACAAATTTCTTTGAAAAATCAAAATTATACCTTGAATCTGATACAATATTTTTTCCCTTCATTATGACTTAATTCTTCGTCATCTAAATTTCTACACTTATTATCATAGCGGGGAATAGTTCTTGTACGTAATGCATCTCTTCTTAAGAGCTCTAGTCGTTTTTCGGAACAATAACATTTGTATGCATGTCCACTATTTAACAGTTGTTGTGTTCTTTTCCTAAAAACAATGCAGCCATGAATTGAATAAATTAAAAAATATCAGATTTAATTTATACTGGTAATTTTCTAGGCGCTCTGATTGAATATATGGACCATATGGTCCGTTGTTACTAGGTCCTTCATCAAATTCAATTCCCAGCCATTTCAAATCTTCTTGAAGTTGTTCTACAGCATTGTTCACTACTCTTGTACGATCAGTATCCTCAATTCTTAAAATGTATTTACCACATTTTGATTTAGCGAACAAATAGTTGTATAATGCAGTACGAAATCCACCTAAATGTAACTGCCCTAAATAAACAATTACACAAATTAATACACCTAAAAAGATTTAACTGATTTTTTAATAAATATAACTAGAATAAAATATGATAAAATTTTTGAATTATTATTAATGTTTAGCTTTAAATAGATTAAATATGATTGAGCAATGGTAATAAAATATGTACCAGTAGGACTTGGAGCAAATCGTACTCTAACTGCAGAATCCGAGTAGAATCGTATATTCAAATACTGGAAGTATTTTATATTCCGAGTACGGCTTACATTTAATACCCAGTTATTCATATTCATTAATTCAATCAAAATTTAGTACAAAATTGTTTTAATTAAATAATAAATGACTATCATTGTACTTAATAATACCAAATATCAATTTATAATATATTTAAAATTTTTAAAGACAGAAATGAAGAATCAGTAAATACTAAATTATATTTGTTTTGATATTTTGAATATATTTTATTTTATTTATCATTAGTCATTACTCTGCCGCGAGATAAAAATTGAATGATAAGAAATTGATTTAACCTTCATATGTTAATTTCAGTTACTGTATTTAAAACTTAAAAGTGTACGTACAGGCCATGAACTAAGATATACAGGACTAGACACCGATGGTGTGGGTATGAGGGTACGTCAGTAAATGTTACGTTCTTTATGGATTTGGCGCAATCTATGAGAATACGGTAACTTAATTAAAACCATGAACTAGATATACAGGACTGGTCACCGATTGGTGCGGGTAAGGAGGGTACGGTCGCAACACATGCTGCCTTTATGGATTTATAACGGCGGAATAACTTGCAATTTAATAAAACAATATATCATAGTAGTATGGTATATTAAGGAACAATATTATTCTTTATACTATGCAATTGAGTATTTTACGATGCCGTGTCGTTACTCGTTACTTAGTATTACGGGTAATAAATATTATTAACAAACTAATTGCTGTCACCAGATAGCGTAGGTTCCACTTAAAGGAGTAATGCGTAACATTGTCTGACCGGCTGATAAGGTCGTCCAGTCCTGTATATCATAGAACACTGTAGAAGCGATACCAATTCTCCTTAATTTTTATTTTCTTTCATTTCGGAGCGACAAGAATGATGTAAGTTTGCGGTGCATTATGATGTTACGAACACTTAACATCGAAATGCATGGTTGAGATCATTCGCCAATTTAAAAAGTCGCTGCATATTACCACTTAATAAGATTTGTATAACCTCTTCTAGCACACGTAATCTGACCAGCGGGCGTCAGT